ATATTTTTAATATTTTGATGTCCCACTTCAAAGAAGGGAGGATATATTGCTTTGCTGCTGTCTGTTCGTCGGTCAGTCGGTTTGTCGGTTTATTTTCTTTGCATGGTTTGTACAGAATGAAACGAAATTTGTTATACAGACTAATTAATATAAAAATATCCATGTCAGTTTTTATTTTGGATGCGATTGGGCCATGTTGGACAAAGTTATGTCCCTTCGACCATTTTTTTTTTTTACAGTTTCCAGTTACTTTATTTGCAGAGGTTGCTTATATTGAATGAAATTTAGTATACAGATTTGAATATCTAGATATGAATATCTAGGTCAGGGTGTATTTTTTTAAAAATTGAGCTATTTTTGGATAATGTTATGCTTCTTGGACTTAGAAAAATATTAATATTTGCAGTTTCCATTTTTCTTCTTTGCAGAAGTTGCTTATATTGAAATAGAATTTGGTATTATGACAAATAATAAGAATATCTAGGCCAAGATCTGCTTTTGGTTATAATTTAGCCATTTTGGATCGATTTATGCCCATTGTACATAGAAATATTCCAAACATTTTTGGGTTGGGGCAGAAGTGTTTTACAAATATCTCTTGTTTTATGAAGGTTAAACTCCTCTTGCTGCTATAGTCAATATTTGGACCCAAAAAGCAGTAAATGTACAGGTATGTATCACCTAAAAAGAATCCTCTCAACTACTAGTAAGAGCAGTTGACTTTTTTTAATCTAAAACTTAGCACATTCATCGTTTTTACCAAGTTCAATACATAAGAACACTTTCACAAACTTAACAAAAGAGCAAGAGCCGCTTTTGGCCTTATTTGGCCCTGAGAATTTCTGAAAAATAAAAACCGCTCAAAACTGCAAATGCAGTATTTATCACTTGGAGTGTTGGTGACCATGTATTTATTGGTGTTATTAATTGCGTCAATTTCCTCATTTCCTGTAAATTTGTTTGCAAAATGGTGTAAAGTTGAAGTATTTTTTTTTAATATTCCATATAGAGCACAACCTTCGATCCAGAATATGCAAATAAATAATGATAGCTCTTTTTCTGAAGATCAAATAACGTTTTAATTTTAGATCCTGGGCTAAGCTCCTATTTTAGTTCTTTGCTGAATGTAGACAAATAGGCATGTTTTCTGCTCAAGAACATTGCAATTTCTCAAAGCCTGTTTCCTAATATCTAGATTCTCAAAAAAGAAATTTTATTATAGGAAATGAAAGCACCAACTGTCTACTTTATTTTAATATATAACATGGGAATGAGGGTGATAGTTAATTAATAATTACAAAACCAATTTATGCATAAAGTGAATCTTGCTCTTTGTACTACAATCTGTTAAAAGTTCATGCAACAAAATTTAAAATTATTAGATGCGAAAAGTAAATTTCGTTTTTTTAAGAATGTCCCGCTGGATCTTTTGGTTGGAACTGTAAGATGAAATGCCCTGAGAGGTTTTATGGACGATTATGTATTTCTTACTGTAATTGTCCAACCTCTGACTGCAATCGTGTAACTGGGTGTGTTGCAGGTAATACATTTATTCAAAAGCTCAATCATCATAACTGATAGAAAAAAAATAAAAACCATTTTTATTATAATTTTCAAACATATATGGAATAAAATTTGTTAATATGAATGGGTTTTTTGTCCATCTAATTAGAAAACAGCACTAGTTTTTCTTCTTTATCAACCGTTGTTACACATCAAACAACAAAAAGTACTAAAAGGACACATATAATGGGCAATCTGCAAACCATGAAAATGCCCCTTCTGTTTCCAGCAAAACAGCATGATCAAAATAAAAATATCAACCGTCACGATGACACATGGATAGCTCTAAGCTCTACTCTGTTTGGTTCGCTTGCAACACTCGTTCTGATTGGATGTTTTCTGTACTTCCGTTCTCGGTAAGCTAATAGATAGTATTATTGACAAAATGAATATTAATTTGAATGTCTCAAAGTCAGGGATATATAACACTAAATTTTTAGATTAAATTTAAAGTTTTTGATTACTTTAACCCAACTTTAATTCGCGTTTCTCGAGCTTCTTTATTGAGCGAGTAATTAGGTCTCAAACGATTTTTTTAATGGTTAGTCCATTATTTATACACTGAAATGACGACGGATTTTTTCCGTTATTTACCGAAAATGACAAGGAGCACATGGCGGGTGTGAACGGTCGACAGGGGATGTTCACTCCTCCATGGCACCTGATCCCACCTCTGATGTTTCGGAGGTCTGTGTTTGCTCTGCTCCTAATTTGTATTGTTTATGGACTTTTTATCTTGAATACTGTTCCTTATCTCCATATGTTTCATTGTACATATTTGAACATAAAACTTCCTCAGTCGCGAAAAATGATCGTCGTAGATTGATTTCAAGCTAAAAATCGCAAAATAAAGATGATGCGATTGATACTTTTAGATTATAGTTTACAGTAAAAAGGCTTCCAACAGTGAAGTACGTCCATCAAGATTTATTAATGTCATATTACCAGGAAAAAATTGGGTTTTTTTTTCATATTTTCATAATTGCATATAACGAAGAAAATTTGCTTTTCTACATAGGAGGCTTAAAGTGCAATTTCCGAAAAGAATTCAAAGGATTTTATTTTCGGGCGTAGACGAAGGTATGTTTATTTCATTATGTGTATAACATTTCGTGTTTAATCATTAGGACAGCATTTATAATGCACAATATTAATGCATTCAATTCAATCAAATTCAATTTTTCACCTGAATATGTCTTTAAAGTCATTCAGAGTTATTTACAAAACATCATATTTTATAAGTAATAGGTGTAGATAACCCCCCGAGAACGGTTCATTTAGGGAATAAGGCTGAATTGTAATATTGCATGTATATCCATATATTACAGAAAGAAACATACAACTTCTCCACGAGGGCCATCACCCACCATTCACAGTCACCACATTAAACCGATGTCAGGATGACGATACCTATATGGAAATACGGTGTTCTCAAATATCTGGAGCATGCTCAGAAACATGCACAAATACAGTAAACAATAAGGAGAAAGAACACGCTGCTTCCAAAGAGCTTAGAAAAAATTCAAGAAATACAAATTTGTACGGAAAATGTTCATTTGAAAATGAATATGACCATGTTAAACTGAGAGTGAAATCAAGCATTCCTGAGTTACCCCATCAGAAATTTGGAATTGGAAAAGTTCTGGATTATGTCGTTCTCTCTGATGAGGGTCGATTGCAAGAACAGATTACATTTCATGACGAAAGCAGCAAATCTTTAACTTTACCTTCCAGTTGTAAAACAGTTAAACAAAAATTACAGCAACATTCCTACAGTTTATGTCGTGTCAAATCAGAAAATGAGTTAAAAGATGCACAAATTACAAATGAAAAAGAAAAGAAATCAATTAAAACATCTTCAGACATTTCAGTGACAACAAAAGATCCCGGGTTTAAGGAGGCCAGTCGACCTTACAGTTTGGCTCATTCGTTGTCACATAATAATTTAAGTTTAGATGATGAAGGGACATTAGGAAGAGAGCCATTCAGTAGTGTTACACCGGAAGATATGCAAGGAAAGAACCCAGAGAATTTGATAAACAGTCGATATAGCTATGTTCAAAAACTGGTAGATTAAGAAAAAAATTATAAACTATATTGAAGATACAGTGTTATTTTCAAAATTAAATAGTTTATACCAATTTAGAGCATAGAATTTTTTTTTTCTTTCTTTTGTGATATCGAGTCTTATGTCAGAAAAATTGATTTCTTAAATTGTTTTAACTATTTCTCGACAAACATTCAAAGCAATATAACAAAAGACTATCTGTGACTTTTCGTATATGCCGAAAACTATCATATGCTTCTATCATAATTAATACCGTTAGTAATAAAACAATCATATAAATTAGTCATTAGTATGAGGTGATGGTAAAAATACCGATATTTGCAATGATGATATTAATGAAAAACGTGATTAAAATAAAAACAAATCTCAGAATTAGATAAAATACAAATCTGTGAAGAGGGCATATAACAAGGATCTTTGGATGCATTTTCCTGTTATTTCCCGATCATTAAAAGGGTGTGACCGGTCAGCAGAGGATGCTCACTCCTCAATGGCACCTGATCCCACCTCTGATGATTTGGAGTTCAGTGTTTGCTATGCTCATATTTCGTTTTGTTTTGTGGACTTTTGATACATACTGTTTGTTATCTTCATATTTTTTATGGATATGGAGTGTTGATTCGTATAATTTGATCAGGTACAGAGAACATTTCGTTGACAGATTCAGTGTAAAAACGAAGTTTTACAGTTGTTTTGAAACACGTACACCAAAGGACTAACCAATGATAAGTTTATTATGAATTTAATAATGACGTTACAAATTGTTGACTTTAAAGCTTGTTGTTGTTTCCATCCAAAATCAAACAAAACACATAAATTCAAAATTCTTAAAACTTTTTCATTAATTTTCATTGAGGAGTACTTTTGAAAAATTTGATAATCAATTTTTTTTAGCCCAATGAACATTATATGATTTTCATGGCACTTAAAACAACTACTAGTATTCCTTGACAGGAAAAGACTAAGGCTTTTATACCAGACCAGAAAGACTATACTAAAATTTTGATATGACTGCTATTAATAACTATGGTTAAAATAATATAATGTAAGAATAATTTTCTAAAAAAAGTACAAATTTATTAACTTTTGAAACCTTTCAATACAATATGTTGAGATGATATGGAGATAGCGATCAGTTTTCAACTCTCAAGCTCAAAAGTTGATTAAACATAATAAATTAAGAGCAGAGCAAACAAGGACCTGCGGACCTTCAAAATATCAGAGGTGTAATCAGTTGCCATAGAAGGGTGAACATCCCTTGTCGACCTATCTCAGTCTGCTAAATGTCATGATCGGGAAATGTCGGGGGGGGGTTCAGTCGACAATGCAGTGTGTAAATAATGGCCAACCAATAAATATGAAAAACATCTATCAGCATTTGACTCAAATTGATAAATTGTATTTGCGGACAAAAATATTGTATCGACCAAAAGGCGTACGAAATCATGACTTTATACGAGACTGCTGATATTCTTGTTTCATTACTTGTTTGTTAATAAGGTACTTCATTTTAAAAATTGAAAATCTGGCTCCCCCTTATCAAAACCACTGAGAAATGTAAACATCGTATGCAGATGGTGATGGTATATTGCTGAATAAGTAATGGGAAGTTGACCTTTGAAAAGTCAAAGTCATCAAGTTTATCATAGAGCTTGTTGTTAGATTACCAAAAACGTCTCTTTCAAGTAAAATATCATGATATATTTTTGGGTAAAAGTTTGTCAAATTTTCTAAAAGTTGCTTGGAATGTTTTCGCAACCACATCTGATCTAAACCACTTTCTGAATATATAAATGGACATTACTCGATCCTGAACTTTCTCCTTTACTGTATTAATAACTCCGTGATTATTAAAGCAAATAGCTAGAACATTTACTGGAACCAACTACCGAGAATCTTTGTTTCGTAAGAATTTTATATGAAGTTTCGGAATCCAATACAGGTAAGATTATTCAAAATTCATTTTATTTATTAAGGATATTAAAAATAATGAGCCTTATGAACACAGTCTTTTACCTGCTTTGTCAGCAGGAACCAGCACATACTGATCGTATAATCTTTCCTAATTTTTTTTCACTTCTGAATTATTGAAGACAGGAGAAGATGTGGTTTTCATTTTACCCTTCGGTCACATAATGCAATATTTCAACACATTTAATAAATTTAGTCCATTCTGACAACGTGTACAGGTTTTCTTTTTCATATCTGGCGCATCACATGGCGTAATCTCCCATAGAATCCATAATATTTATGAAGTTATTACACCAGTTAAAATATGTGTTAATCTGATTTTTTGCCCTATTAAAATTAATGACTTAATTAGGTACCTCATCATTAACTCATTCTTCGTCATCAGTAATTATGCATCCAGGAGGACCATAGATGTAGGGTGAAGAAGAACTTGAACGCAAAGGGGGATTGTGTTTAACATACTCCATATCTTGGCTCTGTAAATAATAGTCACTGTAATTATTTTAGTTATTGTTTGGAAGCAATAATTGATGAATGTCTGTAGAAAGAACAAGTTTTCAATGCAAGACGTTTTTGAGATTAAGAAAATCATTTAGATTTTAATATTCGTCGTTGTTATATTGGTGTTTACGCAAAAACGGGTTGTTTCGGATGCATTTTCTTCCAAAAAACGTAGCAGTTTCAAAATCCTATGATTTGCAATACCCATAAACACAGATCCGAGTCTGTACATGTATTCAGATTTCGTTGAATTAAATAATCGATTATTCCTGAAATATTACAAAAGCGGATGGAATTATGTATTATCGTTTCGTAACTGTCAACGCGTTTTTCCAAATTCATTGAATTGTTTTTAATGTTCAATGAATATTATATCATCTAAATGTGGATTTATCTAGTTTAGTTTTAACACACGTCAGAATTTTTTCCTACACCCTGAGTATGAAAGAATATACAATGTACTCAATTTCTTTATATTGGTCTTATATATATTATATTTTATTATATATTTCTTAAGGCAGATCACTGTCGCTGCATGAAACAAGTCTGAGATTTATGAGTTTATAGTGAGCAATGGTTGAAGTTTTCATACACTACATTTAAATAAAAAATCTTCCATAGTTACAAGTCGTATTTGCACAAAAGCTATCATCGTTTCTTTATAATGCATTTACATTTGAATAAAATACTTCAGATTATCCACCTGGAACTTTTGGATGGAACTGTAATCTAACTTGTCCGTTAGGATTTTACGGACGTTTCTGTCGATTCCCCTGTGAGTGCTCCGCCTTTAACTGCCATTATGTCACAGGATGCACTACTACAAGTAACACTATCATTCAAAATCGCAACAATAAACACTTGTATATATAAAGGCAGAAAATGAAATCATTTTTATTTAATGAAGTCTAATATTAAGATGTTCTATTCTTTTCCTTAAAGAGTTAATTTTTTTTAGAAAACAGCTCTTATTGGTCTTAGAACACGACCGATGAAAAGCATCAAACGTCCAATTTTCCTGATTGGTTGGATAAAACTGAAGAACGGCAAACCAAAAAAAACATCCAATCTTAAATTGTTTTCTGTTTTTGAATGGTCAAATAAAACGACAGATATGGAAGCCAGGATAACATCCATAATGTACCCAGCAGGGCGTCATGATCAAAATGTTCAACAACATGATGTCTTCTTGTTAGCTGTAAGCTATTCACTGATTGGAACTTTAGCAAGGCTCTTTCTGATTGGATGTTTTATGTACTTCCGTTCTCGGTCATGCTTCTATTACAGTATAAGTTGGCATATTTTTATTTTTACTAAAATCTCAACAAAAATTCTGAAAACTGCATGTATATACATTGCCTAATTAGCAAAACTGAAACAAAATGTTATATTTCAAAGGTTTTTTTTTTTCTTACTACATTACTTTCTAAAGAAAAAAATGATAATTTGTTTCATGTTTTAGTCACAAGCTTAAGAAGAAAGCTCCAAAGCTCCAGAAGAAATCAAGAGGTTTTTATTTTCCCATTTAGAACCAGGTGTATTTAATTCATCGCATTTTCCGTATTAATAAAGTAAATGGATTGGTGATATTATTTGTTGCCCAATTAATCAGAATCTATTCAAAAACATTTACATGAAATAAAGAGAGATATCTAACAGCAATCGAGCTCATTAGTCTATTAAACAATACGCATTTTGGAAGTTTATGTCTCTCAGTTTGATTCTATATACGAGTATAATTATTATTTTCGTACGAACAATTTCTGAAACAAGGCAGACAACATGGGATTATTACTCCTCCATGGCACTCAAGACAAAACAGGCACAGAAAACAAGTTTATCCTGATGATCTGCAGACTGAATCTGATCCCGAAGTTAAGGAGGAAGTCCGACCTTATAGCTCTGTTCATTCACTGTTAAATGATGATTTGAATCCAGAAGAAAAATTGAGTACTGCAGAAGTCAGTATTATTTCATCAAGTGTAAAGGAGGACTCAAGTCCTTCGCTTGACAGCCCATACAGTTATGTTAAAAAGTTGTGAAGAAAAAGTCACACATAACCCAAATAAAACAAAACCCATACTATTATTAACTATCAAAAAGGAAACTGTTTAATATTGCATAGATGTAAGCATTGCAATCTAATGTTTTATTCTGTTTAGTGCATATCACTGACGGAATTTTGGAAAATATTACCAAAAACTACTGAAATGAACATCTTAGAAAACAATAGCAACCCTCTTTCTCATGATTTTATTCTAAATTACGTCTTTACGATTTTCATTTATCAAATACACATATTTTCGACTAGTACGTACTGTATTTGGTGTGTAAACTGAATAAGTAAAATGAATGATAACAACAAGTTTGGCTTTCCAGAAAGCCTGATATGTCATCTCTTTGGGCTTCATTTATGTCAAAGAATAAACAGTCAATTGAATGTAACTTTTTTCAGCACTGTCAAGTTTAAATAAATGGAGAGGTAGCCTCTCTGAGGACACGTGTCTGTAATTCTAAATTTATGTGAAAATATGTTTTAATTTATTATTACAATTATTTTTTTTTTGGTTTAAT